GAAAGAGACCCTTTTTCATACCAGCCGCTGAAGGCTCTCATTCACAGCCAAGGGGAGCTGTAAAAAAAAAAAATAGGGCAAAGCAACCGTAGAGACTTTTTTTCCACCCCTCGCCAAAAATAAAAAGAAGCGCACCGCGAAAATGCGATGCGCTCCCCCCCTCCGGCTCGCCAAGAGCTAGCTAGCTATTTTCTCGCGGCTCCCCCTCGCAACCATCACAGCTGCTAACAGAAACTTGCTGCAAAAGCCAAACAAACAAACAAAAAATAAAATACACCATTTGATCCTCCGAGTTGCAAGAAAATAAATGCGCCCATCCAGCTAGAAATAACCCCCGGGGCGTTCGTTCCTTATTCTTTCACGCACCCCGCAAAAAAAAAAAAAAAAAAAAAAGGACTGGAGGGTTGTGCTCTGTCTTCACTCCCCCCAAAAAACTCAAGGCTTTTTCTAAGAGAAGAGACGGAGCCTTTTCTTGCCGCTTTATGAATGAAACTGACTGACTGCGCGGAGTAACGTTCCTGCCTTGAAACTAACAAGCTGGTAAATTTCAGGGGGTGGGTGTTGGGGTTGGGGGTGCATGGAGGGGTGGGGTTTTCAGTACAGAATAAAAGGAAGTTCTCATCTTTGGATTGTGTGTGTGTGTGTCTGTGTGTGTTTTGAAGCGGCAGGGTCCATGTGTTTTGATGTCAACAATAGACGAAAAAAATCTCAGGGGTTTGTAACTTAAAAAAAAAATAAACAAAGAAAACCCCACAAGGAATAGTGCTGGATCAACTTAGAGACTCACCAAGAATATAGCTAGTAGCATGAGCTTTCTTGGGAACAACCCACTTCTTCAGATAGAAGGAAAAGGAGTCTGGAGGTTGGTTGATTTTCCCCCAAATGAAAAATGCCCCGCTTGCTTCTCTTTTCATCTCCTCTGGTCGGTGGGGAAGTAAACCCACACTCCGCATGTTCATTTGGTGAGTCTAAAAGGGAACTGCAGCAGTCAGAGGGAGAGAGAGAAAAAAAAATCCCCCAGCAACTTTTACTGGACTGAGCTTTGGTGATTTGATTCCGGAGGACAGGACAAGCAGCTTGTGTGTGTGTATGTGTGTGTGTGTTTGTACAAATGGAAACCCGTCGATTTTGGAAAATGTCAGCTAGTCAGTGAAAAGAGTTTTTACTGCAGCATCTAAAATAAACTATTTAAGAAAAAAAAAACCAGCTCTTTAGCTCAGGCTTCCAGCCTCTACTCAATTGGCTTTTTGAAACTGCAGAGCCTTTGAGAGAGAGAGAGAGAGAGAGAGAGAGAGAGAGAGAGAGGCAAAAAATAAATTTAAAAAATAGTATTTGTAACTAAAACACACGGCATCCAGGGAAGGTTGTCAGAATAAACCTCTTGGGGAGCAGAGCTGCACTGGAATACACAAGCCAAAATATCCAGCACCTCTCCTGTTTGCATAAATGTACTTGCTCAGTGAAAATATTTCTAGCTTAAAAAAAAAGCCCTGACTTTCTGATTTGTTTACTTGCCTAAAAAAAGTTTAAAAAACCCTCCCCCCAGCCTAAAAGATAAAATTACTAGCTCTAAAAATAAAGCAGTGGTTAAAAACTTCCCCCTCCCCTCCCCACCTCTATGTGTGAGTGTGTGTGTGTGTTTGCGTTTGACAAAGAAATTATTTGAACTTCCCACTGCCTCATAAAAAGGAAGCAGAATAGCAGTTTTGACATATGGATGTGATTTCTCTGCTCCGAGACAGATGCACACACAAAACAAACAGCACCAGGAACTGCTACGCTGCCTGAGACGGGTGTTTGGGGCTCCCTTCACATGGACGCTTTCCCCACATTGCTGAAACTGCCTGGATTTCCAGCCATGAGGAAGCGAAGCACTGGGGCTTCTTGTCATGTGCCTCTCTGGCTAAAACGGTGGAAACAAACAAGCAAATAAAAAAACCTGGGAAGGAAAAAAAAAAAGAAAGAAAACCTCATCTACAACTGGACCCCTGGAAGATCCTTCGCCCTCAGTCTACTTCCCCTGGAGATTGTGGATGGGCGATACCTCTCTTGGCTATGGGATCATATCTGGTTTATCACAACCTGGGCTTGATCCTCTGCTGCTCCGTCTTGAGTTCTGTCTATGCTCTGGTAAGTTGCTAAATTTTTCTCCTGCACATTCTTGAGCAATTGTTTCCTTTAGCTGTGCCTGTTTCCTGGATGAGTAATTGACTGTACCAGGATTTAGAAGCGGGCAAAGCGCTGGCTTTTTTAGACGCATGTTTGATTTTTGCTGGCGGAGCTAGAGCTGGCGGGGGGAGCCGGAAAGCTGCTAGGCGAGATGCAATGAAAATGACTGAGCGTTCGGGAGAATTCTTCTTACCCACTTCCAAATGACTTCGGCCGGCTCTCGGACACAATTCTGTGATCAGCCCCTCTCTCCTATGAATGGAGACAAAGCGTGGGGCCCGCTGTTCCGGATGATAATGGGAATCTTAATTTAATCATGGGAAAGCTGAATTTCAGAAAAACAATTGCTTTCCGCTCCATGAGTGTCTGTGTACAGTAGCGTACTGGATCTGCTTTGCAGTCCAGCAGCGCATGGATGGCATATGGTTTACACTCAGGGGAATTAGAGTAGTATTAGCCCTATGCCATCGAAGGCTGTGTGCCATCTGTGTGTGAACCAGTGTGATTTTGTACGGCACGACTGCTATTGTAGGAAGAGTTCATCTCTATTTAGCCAACTGACTTCCCGAGGGGAACAAAACTGTGACTCAAGGTGGTACAACCAAAGGTGACTCGCTCCGCTTAGTCTTATGGACGAGGCTAAATGTCGTCAAGTCTCCGAGGAGTTGCCGGGATAGTCCTTAACTTTCAAAACCACACGCAGCCCTGGGGCACCTTAGAGGCCGACACTATATAGCACCACGCGCTCGCGTGGGTCAAACCCACTTCGGCATAGGAGTGGATGAAGCAATGAAGTGGGGTTTGCCCCCGAAAGCTCAGGACCCTGTGTGTTTTGGTTGGTCTCTAAGATGCCCCGGGGCTGCTCTTTGTTTCAAAATGTTTTAACAGATATGGGGTGGTGCGTGGCACCCATCCTCATGCAGTGACAGGCCTGTTACACAGTTCGCCTACCCTCTGGTATTGTGATTCCTGAACACGTTGGACGCTGGGCGAAGGTGTCGGGGGGCCGGAGCTCACGTCCAAGGATCGTGCCTGCTTTAGAAAGTGGAAAGGGCTTTGCATGGGACTCCAGCTCCTGCCCCTCACTCTGCGTTTCCACTGAAGGGGCTGCGGGCTGGGGGCTGGGTTAAGGACGGGGGCCCGTTGCACGGGGAGGTGGCAGACAGTGCCGCAGAACCCCCCAACTCAAAGTGGTTTCCATTATAACAGAGTGTACAAATTGGGCTCAGTGGCTCTCTTGGGCCGATGTCGATATGACCAAAAGCTACCGTAGTCTGGGCCTTCCAGCCCACGTTGGGTTATATTCGAATCCCAGAATCCCAGGGCAGGCAGAGACCTCAGGAGTCATCGAATCCAGGCCCCTGCCCAAAGACCCCCAAATCTATAGAGTTGACTATGTGCTGCCACCTGCTAACATCACATGCCATTGAAGTCAAGAGCAAAACACCCATTGACTTCAATGCCCCCCACCGTGGCCGGTGTTGGCGGAGCACCGTGATTTGAATTGGCTAGCTGTGTGTTGCTCGAAACACCGGGCATGAGCACAGACAGAAGAGAGGCTGTGCCCTTCAACGCCAGCCTTCCCGGCTTCCGACACGGGATTCTGCCACCCGGGCGCTGCACCCGCCTTGGGATCGCTGGGTTAATGCGCCACGGGGCTGTCTCAGTCCTGGGAGGTTTTACAGGGGTGTTTTTACCTGTGAATTATCCATCAGCCGAGACCAGAGCTAGAGAGAAACAGACAACCTCAGGTCGTCAGCTCTGGGATTCACTTTGCAGCTGTGACTGGAGACTGGGAGTCCGACACAGGATAGATGTTGGTCCCCAAAGCTTGATTCTGCTGGTAGGCTGGTGTAAAGCAGGAATCGGCCCACGGAAGTCAGGGGTGTAAGGTCATAAGACACCAGATCCGCTGTCCCTTCAGGAGAGATTGCATTTTCTCTAGCCCTTACCATCATGCTAGGGCAGTGGTTGTCAAACCTTTTATTTCATGACCCAGTGGAAGAAAACTGTTGATGCTGCGACCCGACGTAATTTGACTGGAGTGGGGGCTCCGGGGTGGGGGTAAGGATGGAGCTTCAGGGTGTAGGAGGGGGCTCTGGCTTTTGGGGAGTCAGGGCTAGGGCAGGAGGGGTTTCCCTTGAGCAGCTCCCGGTCAACGGGGGGAATAAGGCAGCTTCCTGCCTCTCCTGGCCCCAGGAACGGGCTGCGCCCCAGAAGCAGCCGGCAGCAAGTTCCCAGCCAATGGGAGTGTGGAGCTAGAGCTCAGGACAGGGGCAGTGCACGGAGCCATGTGCGCTCTCCCCCCCACACGCCTAGGAGCTAGGCCTGCTGCCGGCCGCTTCTGGGACGCGGTGCCGGGACAGGCAGGGAGCTGTCTTAGCCCCCCCTGCTGCGCATCTGCTCCCCCTGCAGCACCACGACCCAGCGCCCGACTCTCCGGGTCCAGTCCTGGGGCACGACCCATCACTTGGAACCTGCCGTGCTAGCTGGATGCAGAGGGGCTGATCCACTTCTGCATCACTCCAGTGTCAGCCCGTTCCCGGCAATTAGGCACGTGCCTCGCTGCAGGTTCGGAACCCCTCGAACTCTCCAGCAAGGGCTGTTAGGAAAGTTGTCCAAGAGACCGCAAACCTTCCCTTCTCACCCCTTGCCTGGGAAGGAACACTGCATGCCTCTGTGCTCCTACTTAGCAGGATCACGGGAGTTACGATCCTGAGTGTTCAAAGCATGCCACCCTGACCAACGGCAACCTACCACCGAGAGACGGGACTTCTGCTGCGTGCAGGGGGGACGATGTTTCACCTGCTCTGGAAACGATCACGAGCAATGCCGTGCGGTGTTACCAGCGTGTGTGGATCCAGCGACTTTCATTACTCTGATCAGGCATAGCTGGAAAGAAGCTAAAGGATCCCAGTCGGTTTCAGGAATCCCTGAGACGCGGCCACTTCTGGGGAGCCTGGCAGAATAGGAACAGATTGGGGGCGAGAAATATTTTGGCCATAGACGTCGGGGCCGATCATTGCTAAAAGGGGCACATGCCCTTTCATGTCCCTGCAAAGCAGACTTGGGTCACAAGTGGCTAGCAAATTCAGCTGATCACTTTCCAAAGGATAAGGGGCTACGTGGATGCCCAGGGATAGGAAGCCGGAGTTCATCCGGGGAGTAGGTTCGGATCATAGAATCCTAGAGCTGGAAGAGACCTCAGGAGTTAACAAGTGCACCCAAGGCAGGACCAATCCCAACTCAATCATCCCAGCCAGGGCTTGGTCAAGCTAGATCGCTTTGACTGCCCTGAGATTTAGCCTGCAAGGGCTCATCTCAGGGCATGGCCCCCGGGCATTATAAAACAGGTCCTTAGATGGCCAATCCAGCCCCTGCAACTTTGAGTGAGGCTAGGTGTTCTCACACTGGATCTGGACCTCATCATGAGCTGCAGCCCTGTCGTCGGCAGGGCTGCTGTTAGACTGTCCGACGGCACGGCTTATTGTCTGGCTCAGCCCTTGTCAGCGGGGCTCACAAAACAGCTCCTCACCCCGGGGTGGAAGCCCTTGAGTTTCGGCTTTGCCCTCCACGCCCTGCCCCGCCTTGGGCACTGGGGCATGGGTGGGCCCAACTTCAGTCCCTGCTCATGGAATTGTTGTTATCTGCAGGGGGTCACCGTGCACTGAAGTTGGAGACCCCCCTGAGCTGAACCATGGAAGAGTGAGTGCAGGGGAGATCAAAGGGAGGGGTGTAAAGTGCTGTGTAGCGTGTTCTTCGGCACCTCCAGCTGATGGCAAACAGCTAGTCCACCTAAACAACTTTTCAGTTGGCTTTACTGTCGCCTACGGCTCGGATCTTCCAGCCTGAGCGACACAGCGGTGGAATGAAATCCGCCAGGAGGCATAAGGCACGGCGAGGGGGTAAGCGACAGGGCTCTCCAGGCTAAATATTCCCCACTCGTTCTACGGTTGCGACTCCATCAAGCCAGATTCTGCACTGTCTTGCGGGAGTAACCCCATAATGGAAAACAGAATCAGGCCTGATGATGTTCACAAAGTCGCCGGCACATGAGAGTCTTAGGTTCTAATCTCTGGCAAAATAAGGCCCTTAGGATGCATCTACACGGCACCGTTATTTCGAGATACCCAGCGTGATTTTGAAATCACAATGCGCGCGTCGACATGGCTGTCCCGTTTTTGCGAAATGATTTCGAAAGAACGGCGGCTGATTCCGAAATCTGAAAGCCTCATTCTACGAGGAAGAACGCCTCTTCCGAAAGGTGTGGATAGACGCTCCACTGCTGCTATTTCGAAATAGCCCCTCACCAGGGTTATTCCGCCTGGGGCTCTAAATCAAGATAGTACGTCTACATTAGGAAAGCCAGCCTCGGACTCATTTTGAGGCTTCCCTGCAGTGTAGATGCGCTCTTTCGAAATAAGATAGTCCAGAATAACTAGCTTATTTTGAAATAGTCGTGCAGTGTAGACGTACCCTCAGGATGGGATTCTGCTCTCGATCATAAGCCCAGAGAAATGACACTGTTTTCGGAGGTGTTATCCCTGAGTTAGACCATTGGAAATAAGAGCAGGAGCTGGCCCCCAGCTTTGGATTTGAATATAGGCTGGAGCGTGCATGCCTGCAATGTGTCTGGGTGACACAAAGAATTGATGCACATTGCGGGACACGGAGTCCTGTGGCACCTTCTAGACTAACAGATGTATTGGAGCATAAGCTTTCATGGGCAAAGACCCACTTCGTCAGATGCATGTAGTGGAAATTTCCAGAGGCAGGTATAAATAGGCAGGCTGGAATAAGGCTAGCAATAATGAGCTTAATTCAGTCAAGGCCCACTTCCAGCAGCTGATCTGGAGGTGTGAATGTAGATCTCCTGTCTTATTTTGGTAAAGCCCTGCTGTGTGGAAGTTTGGGTGGAAGGTTGTTTTTTTATGAAAGTCTCCAGTTTGGAGAGCTCTTTT